TGTGTGTGTGTGTATCTTTGGTTATTCGGGTTTTCTCCCACATAAGATTGGAAGTATCTAGGCAATGTTTCGATGAAGTCTCATTCATCATCTTCAGGCTTGTGTCTTCAGCTCTGTGCTTCTAAGAGTGAAGCTTCTCTGAGAAGCACAGAGCCGAAGACACAAGCCTGAAGATGATGAATGAGACTTCATCGAAACGTTACCTAGATACTTCCAATCTTACGCGGGAGAAAACACGAATAACCAAAGATCCACACACAAATACCCGCGAGAACCTCAGAAAACACACACACACACACACACACACACACACATATATATAATTTGTGCTCACCTACAACCATGATGTTGAACTCAAATCCGGTTTTCATGGTCTTGATACGCATCTGGTCCAGGACGGCCTCAATCCCCACGTAGCCGAATAATCCACCATCCGTGGTCTTGAGGGCTGGACCATCCTGGGGAGTTGGTTCTCCTGCTAGATTGTCCTCCATGCTCAGCTGCTGAAGCTTGGGATGAATCTCTGCAAAGAGGAAGAGAAAAGGTAAGTTAACGGCAACCGGTTTCCTCCTCCTTTTCTTGAAGATTTGTTGCACTTCTGTATATTAAGTCTGGAGCAAGAACGAAAGCAAAATATTTTTTTAAAAAAAGGAATTTTCTCCCTGGAAGCAGAAATGCAGCCTTGAAAGAGACACAACATCTGTCTAAGGTTGGGTGCTGCAAGAGACGGTGGGGAAGCTTAAGACAGGAATGGAAGAGAGGAGACCTAAACAGTCAAGAAACAGAAGGGGAACCCTACTGGCAGCTTATCTCATAAACAGCAACTCAACTCAGTAGAACAACGGAGTTGGAAGGGACCTTGGAGGTCTTCTAGTCCAACCCCCTGCCTAGGCAGGAAACCCTACACCACTTCAGACAAATGGTTATTCAACATCTTTTTAAGAACATCAAATGTTGTAGAATTCACCACTTCTGGAGGCAAGTTGTTCCACTGATTAATTGTTCTCACCATTAAGAAAATTCTCCTTAGTTCTAGGTTGCTTCTTTCATTCAGTATTTCCCATCCATTATTTCTTTGTCCTGCCCTCTGGTGCTTTGGAAGATAAGCTGACGCCCCTCTTCTTTGTGGCAGCCCCTCAAATATTGGAACCCTGCTATCGTATGTCGCTCCCTAGTCCTTCTTTTCACTAGACAAACCCGTTTCCTGCTACTGTTTTTTGTATGTTTTAGCTTCCAGACCCCTAGTCATCTCTGTTGCTTTTTTCAGCACTCTTTCCAGAGCCTAACTATCTGAAGCATCTTTCTCGACATGTACAGAGTCCCCATTGTGCTGGTTTCCTATGCTGCATGGAACCACGTTATGTTATGTTTGTCTTAGGTGGACGTCAGGCCAGGGGAGAAAAAAAGAGAAAAGTGAATTCAAATGCACAGCAACATCTCTGACAAAGGTCAGACTTACTACTAGATTACAGTAACACTTCCTAGGACCTATCTCTTCCCACTTACGACTATAACCGTGTTGCTTGTATCTTTACAATTTTTATTGTTTTGTTTCCTAGTATCATTTGATTCGGTGGTGGGATTCAAATTTTTTTTACTACTGGTTCTGTGGGTGTGGCTTGATGGGCGTGGCTTGGTGGGCGTGGCAGGGAAAGGATACTGGAAAATCCCATTCCCTCCCCACCCCGCTAACCTGCTTTCCAGCTCCGTTCTTCTATGGAGGGCAACAAAAGAAGACCCAGCCGATCAGCTGGGACTTGAGGGGGGGGGAGAATAGATGGGGGCAGGGCCAGTCAGTGATGGGATTTGCCGGTTCTCTGAACGACTCAAAATTTATGCTATCAGTTCTGGTCAGAACCTGCTGAATACCACCTCTGATTTGATTGCTTATTAGTGACCTATGACCAGGGGTGGGATTCTAGTAGTTCGCACCTATTCGCTAGAACCGGTTGTTAACATTCTAAGCAGTTCAGAGAACCGGTTGTTAGAAGAAATTACTGGGCTAATCCTGTAAGGAAGGCAGGAAGGAAACATTCTGGTGTTGCTTACAGAAACTGCCTCTCCGTTAACCCTTATTACATTCTTAGCAGGACTAGACTTCTTGTCTCAGGAACTTCTCTGGAGTTTTCTTTCCCTCTTTTGCTAGTACTTTGCTTGTGTGGAGTGACCACTCAAAGTTACAATGGCACTGAAAACAGTGACGTATGACCATTTTTCACACTTACGATGTGTTGCAGCATCCCCACAGTGAGAGACCAGGCGAGGAGATGCGTGCCTCGATGTGAGTGATATTGAGCTGGCCACACCCAGCCAATAACATGACCACCAAGCCACGGCCACCTAGTCACACGTCCACCAAACCACGTCCCCCACCTAAGCCATGCCCACAGAACCGGTTGTTAAACATTTGAATCCCACCCTGCCTATGATTATCACTAAGTGTTGTATCTTATGATTCTTGATGAACGTATTTTTTTAATGTAGATTGAGAGCATCTGCACCGAAGACGAATTCCTTGTGTGTCCAATCACACTTGGCCAATAAAGAATTCTGTTCTATTCTATTCTATTAAAGAGAAGCTCAACCAAAGAGGCTGGAGAGAAGCCTCCATTAGAGAAGAGAAGGGGTTGGCACCCTGCCCAGGAGCTGGGAAGCTTTGCAGAGGCACTGGGGCGGGAAAAGGGGTTAGCTTCTTCCCCCATCTCCCCAAATAAAGAGTGGGGAAAAGTCTCTTCTTAACTGGGCTGGTAATGATGGGGGTTGTTCAAAAGTCTGGGAAGCTGGACATGGCTACATTTAGAAGATCTGGCACTTTAGAGCGGAGCCTGTGCTTAATTTCAAAACTGAAAATATTTTCAACCAATGAGGTTAACAGATCTCTTCACTAGTCTTGGTTTTTTTTTTTTCAAATTCCCAGACTAAAAAGAAGGTCATGCATTTTTCTAGATGGTCTTCCAGATCTGATCTTCTTCGTCCAGGCTGACTAGATGCTACTGCAAATACCAACTCACAGGCCAGCCAAGGAGTTAAATACGATGGTCTTGACGTGTGTAGTGGGGTACCACTCTTGTAATTGCAATAGTTTTCCAAGATTACAAGGTCCTGGATGGATCAACTCAGTTTTTTTTTAAAAAAAATATACATTTAAGGTAATCTTGGAACTGAAAAGTCTGCATTTTTGGTCTACATGCACTTGTATGATCAGATCTTGTGACTTCGCTCATCTTTATTAATAAGAAGGGAAGAGGAATTCAAATCGGAGCCGTGGTATTGGAGAGAGGTGAGCCAAACCCTAACCCTCTGAATTAGCCCTTCAACATTTATGATAGAGATGTAGTATTTCTCAGCGCAGACAACTTGAGGATGGGTGGACTTCAACTCCCAGAATTCCTCAGCCAGAATTGCCCAGCATGACTGGCTGGGGAATTCCGGAAGCTGAAATCTACCCAACTTCAGGTTGCCTGCACTGAGGAACACTGGTGTAGAGGGATAAGGACTTCCTGATTCCCCACCTGCTCCAAATCTAAGGCAACTGGTAACTAAGAAGGGGAAAGGGAGCCACCCACAGTTTGGTGACCCTCAAAAGCCAAAGAAGCCAGAAGCCTTGAGTCTCACAACTGACATCTCCCTTTGCTTTCTCTGGCCAAGCAGCCTTTCATTCTAGTCTGTGTGTGTGTGTGTGTGTGTGTGTGTGTGTGTGTGTGTGTGTGTGTGAAGAAGAAGAAGAAGAAGAAGAAGAAGAAGAAGAAGAAGAAGAAGA